GTGCTATTTAGTTTTATGTTGCGGGGCTCTACGGGGGCTCTTGGGCCTCTGCTGGCTCGTGTGTGTGTGTGCGACCTGACTATGTGGCCACCATTTCACTTAGCGCAACTGCGAGGTGTAAAACACACACATACACACATACACACATACACACATACACACATACACACATACACACATACACACATACACACATACACACATACACACATACACACATACACACATACACACATACACACATACACACATACACACATACACACATACACACATACACACATACACACATACACACATACACACATACACACATACACACATACACACATACACACATACACACATACACACATACACACATACACACATACACACATACACACATACACACATACACACATACACACATACACACATACACACATACACACATACACACATACACACATACACACATACACACATACACACATACACACATACACACATACACACATACACACATACACACATACACACATACACACATACACACATACACACATACACACATACACACATACACACATACACACATACACACATACACACATACACACATACACACATACACACATACACACATACACACACACAGAACGAACTTTTCTTGTGATTGTGCCGTAGACAACGTAGTATACGTACGTATGTATGTACGCGTACGTGCATGCGCACCTTGCCCCAGTACCAGGTCCACAGGGCGCACCAAACTGTAACCGCGGCGAGCAGCGCCCAGGCAACCGTCATACCGTTGCCTTCGTCGTACAACCTCGACCAGGTCAGTCCTAGACAGGAACCGAAGGACCGTATTCATGACAGTGATGATGGGGAGGGATGTGCTAGTTACCGGGAGTGAAGCGAGAGTGAAACATCATCTGACTAGCCCAAAAGCACGACGCGCCAAAAAACTGAGGAGTCGTACATTAAATCTCGTACCGGTAACAAACCGGTACTTTTGGGTTGCAACTGTGAACAAGCTATGGAGCTGTATTACTTTCTGAAATGAAATTACCCGACCTCACATCGTGACGTCGTGTAGTTATTGTCGTACAAATCGTACAAATCGTACAAATACATGTTGTACAGTGTCGTACCTTTCGGGCTTCCATTTGCAGCTGCCAAGAAGGCATACTGGCTCATTTCCCACAGCCCTCGGAAAAGCGCAAATGACGGAAAGGCCTCCAGCAATGTGGCCAACCAGTAGGGACCCGACATCACGAACTGGGAGCCCGGGGGTTGTGATAAGGAAGAACGAAGGACAGGACGGGAATGAGATCTGTAACGACCCGTGGGTCAGCAGTATCTTCACGTCTTCGTAAGAACCTCCGTATTGAGGCCTTTGTGTGGAGGTTTTAAGAGTTGTTTGGGGGTAACGAAGTTTTAGAGGGGGTAATCTTTTCTCTTAGAGGGTGAATAAACGTGGTGAGACACTTGTGGTGGTTTTGGAGCCCGGTCGCTGTACGGGCCAAATCGGGAGTCCAAGGGTGCTCTGGAGTGGTACGGCAAGAACCGTCGTGCCCCGTGTTCCCCTTTTTCACACCTTGAGTTAAAAAATGCATGCATGCATAACATGTGTTCATGCATACATACATACATGTGTTCATGCATACATACATACATACATACATACATACATACATACATGTGTTCATACATACATACATACATACATGTGTTCATGCATACATACATACATCCATGTGTTCATGCATGCATACATGATGGGGGCCGCTGGTGAAGCTATACCACCCTGTAACAACATACATACATACATACAGACAGACAGATCCCTGCCCCTGTATAACATGCAGTATACATGCAGCATTCAACACTTCACATTGTGCATCGTACACGTGCCGTACCGTACCTGCGCCACAATCATGTTCGCTACCAGGCCCGTCAGCACGACAGTGATGGTGGCCGCCAGCGTGGCGGCGCCCGCAGATCCCCAAAACGCCGCGAACCAAAAGGCCCAAGAGATCATTGTCTGACCCCACACCAGGTACAACACCGCCTTTTGTCGTACATTTTGGGGGGTCACACAATGGATTGGGTGACAGCGTCAAAGGGATAGCGAACCGGCGTGGGGCGCCCATGTGGGGTCGCGTTTCGGAAGCGAAAAAGGAAAAGGCTGGCGGGAGAATATGCTGAACACCCGGACACTGATAAAAGCACCAGAAACACACAATACAACACTACAGACACCCAAAAAGGCACATATGTACAAAACACGCCAAAATACCACCGGATTCATGCCGTACATTTCCCGTACATTTTCACTACACACAACACACGGAGTGTTTCCCTTCTTCCCGTTCCCTCCTCCCCCCGATCTCGCCCCCGCGGGTCTTGTTTCCCCCAGTTGCCCCTTGCCCCCTTGCCAAGACCCCTCTACATGCCGTACATGCCCCTCTCCCCACCCGCCCACGCGCAGAATCCCAAAGTCCCAACGACCGCCAACACCTGCACTCCGGGTCCGGTCTTGGTGAAGATGTTGAGCCCGATGGCCGCTCCGAAACCCACAAACACCGACATGTAGACGCCGTACAACGCCACGAACCAGCAATATGATGCCAGTGCAGCGGGTGCGGCTCGCAGTCCCTGCTGCCGCATTAGCAGTTGCGCTCCGCTCTCCCTCTCCGAAACCAGGGAATGGACGAACGTCTGCGGGAAATTAATTCGTGTGCAATGCGTAGGGTAGATCGGGGAGCACATCGGAGCCCAGACAACCCCCGCTCGTTCCCCCCATATCAAATTCTCATTTGATTATGGCCTCTAGACATGTCCCAGAATATTTTGTTTTCAACCTACTTTCGTGTCCATCTTACGCCATATGTACCTAAGACCAGACATTCACACCAACACAGGCACATACATCACATACGTGACCAACTCACCGGCAGCAGCAGCTGCATGACCCACATGAAGAACAGGGGGCCCATCAGGGAGGCCAAATCCAGACGGAGAGGTGACCCGCGGGTCGGGAAACCCTTGATACCTGTTGTAAAACACACCATTTCAACAAAAACACACGCATACACACGGACACGGACACGTGGACGTGTGCAGTCTCATCAGACAAGTCTGAAAGAAGTCATACACAAACTTGCAGGCCAGAGAATGAAAAGCATAGTAAAGACAGCCGTGCACTCTGGCCGAGAGACTCTCTCTCTCACCTGCCAATCGTATCACCCACGCCTGGGCCTGGCCCCGCGCCGCCGCTGCAGCAGACATCCAAGCATTGCTTGCGGCGTTGATGGCCGCTGGCCAACGCTGCACTCGAGGCGCCACGCTTGCCTGTTCAGGTTTTACACGGAGTTTTTACACGGTGTGCCAAATTAGGCAATTGAGGAAAAGCTTACAGGTATCAGGGTCCAGTACACAAGCCGGGAGCGCGGACGTGTTGCGAGAGAGAAGGTGAGACGAATGGGTGCGCCAATGCGATGGGAAGAAGCAGGCCGCGTAACGCCGCGGTACCGAAACTAGCGAGAAATGCACAGGGGGTGAGACACCAGACCAGAGAGATGTTAGGCCAAACGATTTTTAATGACCAGGCAACCACCAGATGTTGAGATGACCAAACCGAGATGACCAGGCAACCACGAACGATAACGATTCGTTGGATTCAAGCAATGGATAGCGTCACGTGTCTGTTTCCTACTCACCCCAACATCGCTGTTGTTGACCCAGATTGTAAGATCAAGACCCATGGGCCCGCTCTTCCGCCAGTCGTACACGGCGCTTGGATACTGCACGATGCGTTCGCTGACGGTTTCGATCTTCTTCGCCGCTGTCGTGGCAGCTGGCGACGACCCGTTACTCCTCGCCGTACCAAGTGCCGTACCTTTAATTCCAGCCACACCTGACTCTGTTGATGCTGATGATGGTGACGATGATGGAGGTGTCGGCGATGCCATTATCGGAGAGGGCGCAGGCGCGTGCCCTTGCTGCTGCTGCTGTTCCTGTTGATGCTGCTGCAGTAGCATCCTTCGCCCAACAACACCTCCAGGAGCCGTCGCATTGGAGAAGCTGACGGCGCCGCCGCCGCCGCCGCCGCCGCCGCCGCCAACGCAGTTGGTCCCCGCCCAGCCACAGAAGAGCTCCCGCTCGATGGCGGCGGCGCTGGGCTGTACGACAGGCTGCCAGGTAGCGCATCGCAGCTGGGGCAGTCCCAAGCCCCTACTGAGTGCGCAAGACAGCTGGTTGAGGACCAGCCGGTCAGTCGAAGTCAGGGCGGAGCAGTTGCGGGACAGGTGGTACAGCGGTAGAGCCTGTTCACACATCGTACGATTGTACGGCGGTACGGATGTTCAGCGGTTTAAAAGGTCGGGAGGGAGGGCGGGAGGGAGGAGAAAGGGGAGGGGAGGGGAAAGTTTTTGTGGAGTAGGTGATGAAGTTTGAAAAGAAGGGGAAAAGGGAAAGGCACGTAGGTTTCGGGAATCAAGGGTTTAGTTGTACCTGTGTGGTTTACGACATGTACGGAGGGCGGGAGGTAGCGGGGTAGGGTTCTCATGCCATATGGGTCACCTACCTGCGCTGGGTCAGTGAAGAATCCTGGCTCGCTGGCGGCGGCACCGCCGCCGCCGCCACCGCCAAGGAGATGGCCGCCGCCGCCGCCGCCGCCGCGGACGACGCTGCTACTGCCGGTGCCGGTTGTAGCGCCCAGAACGCGCGACCCTACAATGAGCGCCGGCTCCAGCAGATTCGTGTACGGCGCATCAGTTGCCGTACCCAACAGAAAATCGTAATCAGATAGGATTTGGGTAAGGGCGGAGACGGCTTCCGCCGCCTGCTCGGGTGTGAAGCTAGCTGCGACAGATGCCGCTGACGATGACGATGACCTTGGCGCCGATCCGTTAACTACCGTACCGTTGACCGCGGATCCGTTGACCACCGGCCCGCGGGTCACCGATGGGGCATTCGAACGGAACAGCGCAGTCACATCGACGTTGGGATCGCAAAGGTCAACAAATGCCGTACCGCCGTCGTCGTCACCATTGCCACTACCACTGCCGCCCGAAGCCGCCGCCGCCGCTGGCGCCAGGCCGTCTCCGCCGCCGCCGCGGCCAAGGGCACCGACGAGTACCGCCAACACGGGATTGCTACTGCTGCTACTGCTGTTCGTACCGCCGGACTCTCCCGCGCGGGCACGCTGCCGTACTTCCCGCAGGTCCTGTTGGGACAGTTCACATCGCATTGTTGGGTGTTTTAACATGGGTTCCGGAGCGGACGGCAAACGAAAAGGTTAGTTGCGATACCGTACCGTTTTGTATAGTTTTCCTTACCAGCGCCTCTACTAGACAGTCCAGACCAAGAAAGGTAATTGTCGTCTCACAACGCCTTTTTGATTGAATGTTGAATTTCATTTCCGCTTTCATTTCATGCAGAGCTAGGCAGGCTGATTTGTTGCACACGCAGATACACACACATGCATACACACAGACATACAGACACATGCACACACAGACACATCCCCAGAGGGCGGCGTCGTCCCCCCGGAGGCCCCCGAACCTTCTTCCCCCCCGGGCAACCCCCCGGTAACCCCGAAGACTCTCAACCCCAAGCACACACGCAAACACACACACACACACACACACGCACAACACCTGAGGCCTACAGGTCCTAACCCCCGGCCATCCCCCGGCTACTCCCCCGCACCCTCCCACCCCCCCCGCCAACCCCCCGGCCACCCCACCCCCTACCGCCCCCAGCCCCGCACCCTCAAGATGCGCGGTCCGATACCCCGATCTCCGCCCGCGGGTAGCACCCGCGCACTGAGGTTGCGGCCAACGGCGGAATCCTTCTCCGCGCCTTTCCTCCGGTGGTGGAGAGCGAAGTGATTTTTCACAGACATTGACACGTTATGCGGGATGGGTGGGCAATCAGTCAGTCATGCATGCAGCATTAAGGTTCAAGAGGAGGGCGAGGGGCGGGGACGGTGGTGGGAGGTCTTGGGAGACTGCGTCTCGTCACGCTGCGCTGCGCTGCGCTGCGCACGTGGGGGACGCGACCAGGGGTGAGAGAAGAAGAGATGGGAGCATGGCGCCGGCCGGTGTGTGTGTGTGTGTGTGCGTGAGTGTGTATTGGCAGCTGTAGCGTTCAGCTAGATGAGTCCCAGGGGTTTGTTAAGCACGAGCGCAGTAGCAACGCTTGGCGCGGAGCCGCTGTCAGCAGCAGCAGCAGTAGCAGCAGCAGTAGCAAAAGATTTACGTACGATTGGTCGTACATTGTACGTACCGCCCTGCGTGCTTACCGGTATACGGCACGATGACCGGGCGCGGTGACGACTGCGGCGTTGACATCGTGCCGGAGGCGGCGGCGGCGGTGGCGGCGGCGGCGGTGGCGGCGGCGGCGGCACCACCCCGTGTGGTTTCGGAGAGACCCATGGGTCGGTACTCGTCCAGCGGTACCTTACACGCGGGTCGTTGCACGCGTCGAGGTGAGCAGAGTTTTGGGGGGGGGGAGGCGGGTTAGGGAGGTGGTGGTAAAGGTGGTTTGGAAAGGAACGACAAATCACCAAATGGACTGACATCAACTTCTTTTGTTGTTTTCGCTGAACGGATTCGTCTACAGGCGCCAGCTTGGCCGGCATTACCGGCTCACCGCTTCCATCATCGCCTGCCACTTCCTTATATATATTTATTACACATTCATCATCAACATAACTCATAACTCATGACCCACCCGCTTAGACTTCCCGCTTTCACAACCCCTCATGAAGAGCAATAATTATACCTATCACAGGTTGGGCCTTCTTTTGCTTTGTATGGACGAAATCTGACCTCAGGATAAGAACTTTGAAACCTTCTTCACGCCTTACAGCGAGTACGGCATGCTGGTACGGCATGCCGTATTCGTAGGCGTCGCCGCGCACTCAAATCGAAAAACACGCACGCATATATGTGTGTGTGTATCCGTGCGAGGGGGACACCCTTACCTGAAGTACGGCAGGCCAAGTGGACGGGTACCGTACATCGCAAAAGGCGATTTGCGCATACGTGCTGTACTGCGCACCACATGCATTGCGGTCCCGCGCCTGTGTATTTTTGTATATGTTGACGGAACACATCCACATATTACATACATACATATTACATGTTGCGAGCTGACCAGGAACTAAGTTGATGCGCCGTTGATCCGCTAGATTTGGTTCCATGCTGGTGGTGAGTTGCCGAACCCAACGAATACATTCTGAAGTCGGATGGGGTGACGGATTAGGGTGCCCCTCTAGCAGAGGAGAGCAGGGACTGCCCCGGGAAAGGGGGCCGCTGGCGAAGTTAACCACCCGGTAATTGAGACATACAGAATTACAGAAAGTAAGTAGACCTAGTAGTCAGTCAGGACAGTGTACGGGCAACGGAAGATACGGTACGGCAACTGATCCTAACGCTACGGTTACGGAAAGAAAGCCGCAGCGGCGACAGCGGCAACCCCTTTATTAAGCAAAGACAGCAACAGAACTCTTGTCAGAGCAACAGCAGATAAACAGCTATTCCTGTGCAAAGGAAATGAAACCGGGCACGTTTTCTTTCCACTCCATATATTGCTGCACGCTCCAAAACTCAAATTTACACCGTGCTAATTCGTCAAATAGTCCAATTCGCATATGCAACCCCGTTATGTGCAAAACACAATTACGACACGCCTACCTTATCATGCCGTAGACGATATGCCGTACACACGTACCTTGCACTGCGCGTACGGTGAGCAGGGTCGCTCAGGGGTCGCCCGATAGCACTCCCATCTGCTGTCAGCTTTGGGGGAACCTGTCGTACCTGTCGTACCTGTCGTACCTGTCGTACCCGTCGTACCCGTCGTGCCAACGGCAACGGCAACAATTGCACAAAATGGTTTGTGGCTTTCAAAAGTCACTCTGCGCACTTACGGCACTTCGAAACTTATAGAAGAGACACAACCTTAGGATATGAGAGGAGAGGGAGAGATGGGGGGCCGAAGATAAATGCCCCGTACAGAAAAAAAAGGGCCCCGTGGGCAGGACACTGAATGAGAATGCAAGAAAACCGAAACCGGAGGCTGCACCAAAACCTGACGGAGACACGGATGTTTGTACGTTACGACGTCTTGTACGACACCTGGGTACCTACGCGTCTGTGTTTTTTCACACGAGACGCTCCGATACCCCGAAGGTGGTCAAACCCGCAGACCCCCCCTGCCCCTGCCACCCCCCACACTCCCCCCCTTTCCCCACCTCCCCCCCTTTCCCCACACTCCCCCCCTTTCCCCACTATTTTCCCTTTCCTCCCAACCCCCCTCAGCACACCTCCTTCTCCAGCAGGAACCCAGTCACAGCAGTCTAGGCACTTGCAGCCGCAACGATACTCGTCGCTGGAACCCAACTGCGAGTTGACCAGCCGCTGTAGCACCTGCAGCGTGCATTCGTGGAGAGCAGTTGTGCAGTGGAGGCGAGTGGGGAATTGCAGCAGCAAAAGGCAGCAGAAATATAGCAGCAGCAGCAGCAGCAGCAGCAGAACCGCAGAGTAGCAAGCGAACATGCTCACAAGCAAGCTATACTGCCAGCAAGCAGCATGCAGCGCCCCAGGGAGGGAGTCTTCTTCCCCAGGATGCCGTGCCCGCCGTACATCACACCCACGCAACCCACTCCCCCCCTTCCCTTCTCTTCACACCCTCCCTCCGTCCCTACACGTCGCAGGCCTCGCTCAATAGACACTCGCAGTACGGATATACCTGCAGTACACCTGCAGTACACCTGCAGTACACTTGCAGTACAACCACCCTTCCCTCTTTCTCCCCTTTCCTCGTACCAGCAGCAATACACAGAACAGCAGGGGGAGCCCCAGCAGGCAGAGGTTCTGAGCCCAGGCACGTCTCTGTAGAGTTAAGTTATACGCATAAGGGGATGGGAGGGCGCGGGAGGGCATGTCAGCGATGTGTCTGTGTGTGTGTCTGTGTGTGTGGCTTCGTAGTTAGTAGGGGGATAAGCTTGGAAAGGAGGGGGGTACAATAAGGGGTACATCACCTCCAAAAACACCATCACAACATGTTATACTCGCTTATCACTTGTGTGTGCGTGTGTGTGTGTACACGTGTTTTGTCGAAGCAACGATCATGTGACGCGATACGAACCTAATGGGATTCGAGGCCGGAAGGCCTGGAAGGCGAATGTACATGTACTTTCTTTCATGCATGGCTGCCTTCCATACCACAGCATGTGTACGGCAATGTTTTTTTGTGCCGTACCGCCTGCAGAACACTTCATGAGACGGGACATGATATTCGGAACTGGGCGCCCTTCTTTCTCCGCGGGCGGTAATCTCCGCAAACTTTTTACACTTGTGTATTACAAACTTCAGGTCCGTCGTCCCCGCTACCACCCCCCCCGGCAAATAAACCGAACAAAGGCCCCTAAACCCACACGCATCCGCGATCTGCCGCATAATCACCACCACCATCATGTCACCTGCAACGTCGCATTCTTCCGGAGTACAGCCGACGTTTGAAGCGTGAAGAGCTGCCACTCGCTCAGTTTTTCCCTGGAGTCGTCGAGCGAGGGCCCTATCGCGCCACCGCCGCCACCGCTACCGCCGCCGCTGCCGCCGGGATCCCCACTCCGCCGCCAGCGACTGCTTGCCATGCTGACAGTTACTGTGCAGCTCGCCCCTCCCCCGGATTGGATCCACTGCGCAAAAACGTCCGTCCAGCCGACCCTGTTGATGTTGTTACAGGGTGGTTAAGCTTCACCAGTGGCCTCCTTCCCGAGGCAATTCCCTGCTCTCCCCTGCTAGAGGGGCACCCTAAGCCATTCACCCCATCCGACTTCAGAGTGTACTCTTTGAGTTTGGCAACTCACCACCAGCATCCAACCAAATCTAGCGGATCAACGGCGCGTCAACTTAGTTCCTGGTCAGCTCGCGAGTTGTTGTTGCTTTTGTTGGTGCTTTTGTTGGTGCTGCTGTTACTGCTGTTGCTATTGCGGCTGCGGCGGCTGCCGCTGTTATTGCTTCTGTTGGTACTGCTGTTGGTACTGCTGGTGGTGCTGCTGTTGGTACTGCTGTTGGTACTGCTGGTGGTACTGCTGGTGGTACTGCTGTTGGTACTGCTGTTGGTACTGCTGTTGGTACTGCTGGTGGTGCTGCTATTGGTGGCGCTGCTGTTGGTGGCGCTGCTGTTGGTGGATCATCCACCGCGGGTGAGGATGGAAGTGTGTGCCCTGGCAAATACACACACGTACACAGACAGACAGACATGTGTGCATGCAAAGGAATGTGCAAGGGATGCAAAGGGGCCCCTGGGATAAGTGGGTATGAAGACGCGTGGGCGGCTGCCGGGGCCAGTGATGCGATGCGATGTGATATGGTGTGTGTGTATGTGTGTGTGTGTATGTGTGTGTATGCGCATGCAGTTGCTCGCTTCCACATAATAGGGTCAACGTCCGGGTCTCTACCCCCTTAGAGAACGTTCTCTTGGGAGCTTTCTCCCCCTCTACCTCTACCAGTAAAATAACATAACCATCTTGCACAGTTTGCGACAAGGAGGGCAGGAAGGAGCGACTCCGGGCGATCGAACGAACGAACCAATGCGAATCAACGGACCCACGGGTCCGTTCGGGCTCGTGGACCCGAACAAAGCAACAACGCTGCTTTCTGTACAAGTCAACCGGACAGTCAGCAGCAACGGCCTAGAAAAAAAAATTTCACAAGTCGATATAAATAACTCTTTCCGTGTCTGTCGTTAAAACCTGAGGCTGCCAACCTAGAGGGTTTTAGCGTTTCCTTCCTTTAGTCTTAGTTCGGTTGGAGCCTAAAGAGGCAACAGCGAGTGGCGTTGTCCAGTGCGGACCCCGGGATTTCACACACTGACGGAGTTGGCCGCCGCCGTCACCATCGCCGTCGTCACCGCCTATCAGTGACAGCGGGCTCGCTCCGCAACGTCCTATTTGTCTTTTGCAGAATACACACATTAGTACCCCACCCACCCGAGCTACCTGGTGACCTGAATCCGATTTCCCGCAGGGAGCCTTGAAGACCCCCTTGGGGGGGGGGTTCACCGCGTCGTACAAATAAAGCTTGAAGCTGCTGTGGCTGCTGTGGCTGCTGTGGCTGCTGTGGCTGCTGTGGCTGCTGCTACTCTACTACTCTACTACACAGCACCCTGCTCATCTAGCGTCGGCGCGGTTCGTTATTGTAGAGCGGTGTCAGAAGATGATATGCAATAGTAGCTCTGGGATACTGGGGAATAAGGATCGTGTTATTAATCGATGTCGAGCCTCTAGGGGCCACGCCACGCCACGCAACGCCACGCAGCGCTCACCCTCTTTAATAGGTAAAATTTTACTTAATGTATTTATTTTATGTAAATAGAGTTATGAGCGTGCGAGGGGTAAAGATGAGATGAGATGTAAAGAGGTGCAGAGGGAAATGCGAATCGTGTGGGGGATGGGAGCACTAGAGGCAAGCGGACCGCGAGGCGTGGAGGCGCGCGTAGCGGTGTACGAAGAGAGGCCGAGGTGGCGCGGAGTGGAGGTGATGGATGGCTGTGATGATGATGGCGTTGCGCGGCGCGGCTCTGGGCCGGCCTTCAGGAGACGACAGGCGTCCTCATGCGCACACCGTAAAATCGGGAAACGGCCGTCAAATAAAAAGGACCCGTACGGCGCTATCCAAAAGTGAAAACATTCAAAATCTGATCTTTCAAGCAATTCAAAACCTTTATCGCGCCAAGTAATTATATTATTTGGCTTCCAAATTATTACTATTTCGTTTCGTACATCTGAGCTGAGCAAACTGATGGGTAGGTCACGAGAGGATGAAATGAATGAAAGCCGAAACGCGAAGTCAAGACGTCGTCCCTTGCCTCGTTAAACCGCCGGAAGAAATACAAATGCAATTAAAGAAACTGCCCTCTGTCGGCCATTTGTGGACGGACGCTGTAAAAAATTACATATGTATACGCGATCATCCTGGCTGGATCCGCTTCTATGATGGACTATAATTCACATCATTCAAATTACACACACACGCACGCATATTCCAGCCACCTCTCCCTCACTTCGGCAGCCCCGCCGCCTGCCGTAGCCAACTCCCCAGACCCGCCCGCGTCAGCAGCTCCCCCACCTCGGCCAACGACTCCAACTGAACCTCCCTGCGTACGGCAACGTGTACGAGCAACCGACTTGAGTGTAGCAACAGACCAGATTACTGGGGAACCCATAACTAACATAGCTGCACATAGCTGATCGGGTACGTAGAGACAACGGAAAACAGCGATTGGTGTACAAGTATGTATGTATGTATGTATGTATGTATGTATGTATGTATGTATGTATGTATGTATGTATGTATGTATGTATGTATGTATGTGGGTGGTACTTGACTGGCGTCCTTACAGCTCTCTTGGTAGTCTATAGTACTACAGCTACTGATGTACAGACAGACAGACAGACAGGCAGACAGACAGACTCTCTCTCACCTGTAGTTGGAAAATACGTGCTCGCCGCCGCCGCCGCCACTGCCGCCACAGTCGGTGGTGGTGGTGGTGAGGCAAACCCCGCCGCCCCCACCCCCACCCCCCTGCCGCTGCCGCTGCCGCTGCCACTGCCGGCCCCCTGGGACCTCCATCGATGGCCTCACCGGTTGTTGTACGACAACGTTCATCATGCGCTCCTTGCACTGGGGGGCATTCGCCACAGACAGACAGACAGTGCAGCGAGAATGGCACCAGGAATTGCAGGTGCAGCAGAGGCCAGCAGCAACAGGGAAGTAAGGAAGTGAGGAAACATCAATAAATTGAATATTGTTGCTGGCGGGCGGGGGAAGACCTGAAATCCCTAGGATATGCGGCCGCATCCTCCTCGTGTCTCCTCGCCCTCCCACCGAGTACCCCCACCCCCCCTGATCCCCTCTGCCACGCCAACACACCACGCCACGCCACGCAATGCCACACAGACACACATACAGGCACACGTGGGTGCATATGCACTCACACAAGAACAGACCTTGCGCCCTCTGGAATCGACGTCCACGCTCTCCGTACGGTGCCGTACAAGGTACTCTCGCAACGCGTCGCCGTCACCCTCCAGCAGCAGCAGAATAAGATTTTTCTGGAAGATCAGACGGCCTTGCCGTACATTGCAGGGGGGTTGTGGAGGGGTAAAACCCGGAACCGTAGCTCAACCCCCCCTCTCCCGAGGTCCTAAGCGAGCTTGACGACGACATTACGACGACGATGTTATGCCGATTCCAACGTCCCCCTCGATACATACATACATACATACATACACACGAACTCTCTGGGTCTTTCCCCCCTCCCACTCACCCGTCAGCCGCAGCTCCCGAACCCAGGATCCAATTATTTTGCCGTACAGTGCCCGGTTGTGCATGTGATCCAAACGTATCAACAGGACCTGTCATGACAACGCATCCACCACAGCGACATTAAAACAGCAAAAACGCCACAAACAGCCAAATCACCGCAAGTGGCCGTTCCCAACGGCAGGCCCCAGTCCATCGCCATCGTCAAACACCGCAAAGGCGATGAAAAGAGGCTTCACAGCTGGTGTATATGTGCTTTCTAGTGCCGTACACCTCACCTGCAGCCCCGCCGTATTACCGCAAGCGCCACAACCGCCATCACCCGCTGCCGGCAGCTTTGCTGCGGCTGCCGACCCCTCCATCTCCGCCTCCGGCTCCGTTACTCCCTCCCGCGTATCCGGGGCCCCCTCCGCCGCCGCCCACTGATCTAGGGCGGCTTGGGCCCTTTCACAGAGCTCGTGAAGGCAAGGGCGACCCTGGGGTGTGTGTGTATGTATGTGTGGGTTAGGGAGTTCAGGGGGTTTGGGAGTTCAGGGGGAAGGTGTGTGTGGGGGGGGTGAGGGGATGAGGGGGGTTTGAGCGAGTCCATACACCCACACCACCTAGATGACCGGGGGGCCCCCCATTACTGCCTCTTCCCATTTTCACCCTTCCCCCCACAAACACACACCCGCCCAAACACACACCCGCACAAACACACACCCGCACAAACACACACATACACAACACACATACGCGTGTTAAGGGTTGCAACCACTAGGTCCTCCCTCCCTCTCCCCCCCCCCCACGCGGCCCCCAAGTGAATCCACATTCGTACCTCCACCGCCGCCTCCCGGGCAATCACCCCCAGCTCCGAGACCAAGGCATCCACCCACTCGCGATCCGGAAGAAGGTGTCGCTGCCGTACACCCAACCCGCTGCTGCTACTGCTAGTGCTGCTGCTACCGCCACGGGCCGCCCAGCTAACGCTGGCGCTGCACCTAGCTGCTGCTGCTGCTGCTGCTATTGCTGCTGCTGCTGCTGCCTGCCCCGGGGCCCCTGCACTCGCCGCCACCACATCCGCCGCCGCCCTATCCGGCGGTTCCGCCAGTGGCAATGACGACATCCCTGGACCAGCCGCCTGCGGGGGTGCTGCTGTGCCGTACGCGCGGGGGAGGCTGACGTGGAGCTGCAGCTCCAGGTGGCTGGGTGGGGGTGGGGTTGGGGGTGGCGGGGTTGGTGTGTGTGTATGTGTGTGTGTGCTGGGAGGCGTGATGGGCTTGCAGATGGGGCGTCCCTGTCTAACTGTCTAGGATGTCCCAACGTACAGTTGATATACGGTTGGAGGTTGGAGGGTTCAAGGTAAGGGAAGGGGAGAGGGGAAGGACGGGGAAGTGGAAATGGAAGTGGAAGTGGTATTAGCAGGGCTGTTGTGTGTGTGTGTGTGTGTGTGTGTGTGTGTGTGTGTGTCTCTGTGTGTGTGTCTCTGTGTGTGTCTGTGTGTGTGTCTGTGTGTGTGTCTGTGTGCGTCTGTGTCTGTCTCTGTCTGTATCGCGGGTAACAGAGCGGGAGAGAAGACATGAAAATGTGGAAGATTAGGTGGGAGAATAAGAAAAGGGATAAAGAAAGAGGGGGAAATGCACCGGGGGCCCCTGGAGCACCGGGGGCACCTGTCTCTGGGGCTTGTAGCGTTTTTGCGTGCCGTACCTCAGGCTGTCTTCAGAGGGGCGAAGCCGGATGGTTGCATCCAAGTCATCACGGCCCAGCTGCGCGGCCGCCGCATCTTCCTGAACGCGTGTGGATGCAAAGGTATGGATGCAAACGTAAGCTTTACGGAGCTTTGGATCTTTCCGCGCGTCTTGACTTCAAAGGTTCTGAGGAAGACGCAATCGGTCGCCACACATGGACTGCGTATCAAACCCGCCCACCTCCAACATGCCAGCTGCTGCCAGATCCATCAGTTCCTGTTGAGTTTCATCTCTCATGCTAACCATGTCAGCGCCATGCACGGCTTGCAAAGCAGCAAGCTCAAGGAGAGAATTTATACGCGACATTCCCAAATCTACTGTGTCTTAATCAATGCCTCATTTGTAGTTTTTACTGATGATAATTTCAAGTATGGTCGCTATGTTTCAAAGAAAGAGTCTGACTAAGCTATCGCATCGCTTGGAAAGGGTTGGTCTCTGGGATTATGAGCACATCACCAAGAATAGTAGAGGTTACCTTTCAGTAATACAGATACGTAAGTGTGCTCCGCGCTGGGACTTGTGCCAGCGAGTTATGTCCACGCAGGAAGCTACGGTTGTAGGAGGAGCACGTGGTTAATGTGATGAAGTGTGGTTAATGCATGAATGTCAGGGGCTGAGGACTCAAATTCATTTGGCGCAATGGGAAGCAGGTAGCAAGGGCAGACTGTAGGGTTTGCGACCGTTGACACAACCACCTTGACCGGAAAGAATCAGTTGATTCGTCTTTTATCGTCTGATGTGACAGCGTCTCAGCATACCTAATTGCGGCTTGCGGCACACCGTTATCAAGATTTGTTCACTTCGTGAAGGGTCGTTCCGTAAAGGACGGCCAAGGTTTTGACCTGAAAGATTTTATGTGGTCATCAAAACAGCACAAAACTGCTCTATCGAATTCAATAAGCTCCATTAAGATCATATCACATCTGTAGTAGTAGGACTCCAACTATAACCCGACCGAACTCGTAGGCCAGTTGCCAAAGAACTCATGGGCCCTGCAAACAATCAATGTTCAATGCTTTCATCATTATTAACGAATACAGGAGGCGTACTTATCCTCGACGGAGCGCAGGGCACCGAGCTGGAACGCCGTGGCGTGCATCTCGGAGGATCCAAGCTGTGGAGCGCCCAGCTGCTAATCGACGACCCGGACCTTATTCGCACCATCCATCTTGACTATCTGCGTGCCGGCTCTGGTAGGTTCCACCTAACACCATTTGCGATGCCAAAGTTGGCCCAGAAACAGAGACTCAGGCTTTTGCCTGCTCAGGCCTCCTTAAATCCTGTTGATCTGCACGCATCTGAAATCGATGCTTACTATTCGTCCAGACACCTTTTCTACACATGCATTTCATGTACTGCATGGCATGTACTACATGGCATGTACTGCATTGCCTGTATTGCAGATGTCATCACCACCTTCACTTACCAAGCCAGCATTCAGGGCTTTGCCGATGCGGGCATGGATGCCCGCATGGGAGCGACTCTACTCAATCGCGCAGTGGATTTAGCGGAATCAGCACGCACGGCCTTCTTGGACGAGCAACGGCAACAGCACGAACAACCACCACCCCACCACCAACAGCGTGTACGGCCTTTAATCGCCTTCTCGTCCGGATCCTACGGCGCGTATCTGGCGGATGGATCGGAATTTCGGGGCGATTACGCGGATTCGATGACGCTGCAACAGCTCGCCAATTTTCATCGGGACCGACTGGAGCCTGTACGGCACCGTACGGAGATCGATCTATTGGCATTCGAGACGGTTCCCTGCCTGCGGGAGGCGGAAGCAATCTTGGAGCTTCTGCGCCAGGAGCGGTACGGCAAGCCCGCCTGGATCAGCTTTAGTTGCCGTGATGCCGTACACACCTCCCATGGCGAGCGCTTTGCGGAGCAGTGCGTGCCGCTGCTGGCAGCAGCAGCGGCGGAGGGCCTCGAGGTGGTTGCTACAGGCGTGAACTGTACGGCACCGCGCCACGTCCGCGCACTGCTGACTGCTGCACGTGCGCAGCTCAATGCTGCTGCTGCTGCTACAACCGCTGCTACAACTGCTGGTACAACTGCTGCTACTGCTGCTGCTACTGCTACTCCTATTGCTTTCGAAAAGATCGTCGAGCCACACATGCAGAGGGAGTTGCAGGAGGCTGCTAAGCAACAACAACAACAACAGCAGAAGCAGCCGCAACTGCGGCCGCCGTCGCAGCTGCTGCTGGTCTGCTATCCCAACAGTGGAGAGGAATGGGACGGTGAGCACCGCTGCTGGCGGCACCTCCCAGATGACATCGCCGAGCCGGAGTGCTTCGCCGAAGCGGCGGCAGAGTGTGTGTACGGCGACCCACGGGTCTCGCTGATGGGCGGCTGTTGTCGTACAGGTCCGGAGCACATCCGGGCATTGCGGCGCTGGCTACAGGCACAACAGCACTGTCAGCAGTGACAGATGGGGAGGATGGGGTGCGATGGCAGTACGACGAATATGATGGTGAGGACGGCGATGGCAGTACTACGAATATGATGGTGGTGAGGACGGCGATGGCAGTACGACGAATATGATGGTGGTGAGGATGGCGATGGCAGTACGACGAATATGATGGTGGGGAGGATGGCGAGAATGATGAGGGGGATGTGGCGGTGCTGGTGGTGCTGATAATGATGGTGTACTCGGAGGCCGACGGATTCGCTTTTGCGACACGGATTGAGTGGTGAGGATCTTTTAGGATTCAGTTCCTCTTCGCCGGATGTGTGTGTGTGGGGGGGGTACGGTCACCATGCTGTTGCGACCTCGCGCATGCGGGGTTATGGCATGTTGCTCGTGTACGAAATTTGTTTTTGTCGGTTGGTTTTTCGTTTGTACGCTGGTTGCAGGTCATTTTAACTTTCCACGAACTTTATCTCAAAACATGTATATATATTTATAGATATATGTATATATACCAGGCATCGGCAAACGCTTCGGGAGTTTCGGGTTGTACCGCACTCTCCCCCCCCAGCAGTCCAACCTCGAGTTCCTTCCTTCAGAGAAACTAGTCTTCTAGGCCTGTCCAGATGTGTCCAGCCCGGATCTTCTCCCCCCCAGCCGTCAACCGCCTCTTAGGGTGGATTGATTCTTTTCAGCTGGTTTTGGGCTCCCTCATTATTGAGTATCCGGAGCACCAGCCTGCAGAAGAATCTGCTCAATCGCCGCTGTCGCTGGCCTGGGTTAGGTAACGTCCTCGCCTTGCGTTGGCTGCGTGGGCCGCCCCGCTGACATTGTCAAGACGTTCAACACGTTCCTCACCGCCATCGCCATCGCCCTCCGGTGGGCCCCATCGGCACCATAATGCCTGAGGTGGTAGCGAGGGAGACATGTACCCGCCGTCTCAGTTCCCCCTCCGCCATCCCTTGGCCCTCCGGCTTGGTCAGGAACCCCGATTCCACGGGTGCCGTCACACGCATAGCAGATGTCACAAGCGACGGGTGACATCTGCGCCGCGCTTGTGACATCTGCTATGCAAGCGACGGGGTTGCTTGCTGGCTGCCCCTCTCGGAAAAGGAAAAGGACGCCAGGTTAGGCTGCACCCCAGGGCTTTTCCCCACTTAACTGAGGTCTATGTGCGTTTCTTGGCCTGCCACTAACTCCACTAACTGTGGTCACCTTCTCTGTCACATCTCTCACCCTGCTGCGAGCCTCCTGGACCTCTAGGGACCATGCAGGCAGCCTTTTCTGCTGAGCAACGCCCAAAGGATATGTGTCCCGGTGGCTGCGCAGGTGTCCTCACTTCCTGCACTTCCGGCTCCTCACGCAGCCGGCCTCTGCTCTGCGAAGGTAACAAATAATACCTGGGAAATTCTCAACCCGTCGCCGGTATATGCATTCCCTTCATTCCAGGAAGGAAAACCGCAGTTTTTGGCAATCCTAACTTAGGTCACACACACACTGCCTTAAACCAGTCGCGTCTTTGACCTGTCCTCTTATGCCCCCCTCCCTCCATATTTCAATTTCCCTCACGATACCTCACAGCACAGATCACCCAGTTGTATCTCGGTCACATCTCTTATAATACCCTCAAATCATGCTTCCAGCCTCATTTTCGTCGCATCCCCAACACCTTACCCAGGCCGCCAAGCCTCACCTCAAGCCCCACCACACCACTACAGCCTAATCCATCCAGGCTCACTTCGTTCGCCTTAGCAACGCTCCAGCTCCAAAGTCAAAGTCATCGTACCCGACCTCCGTACCAACCATACGCCTACACATAGGCCCTTACGCCTCACCTCCGCGACCTCCCAGCATAGACCATCTGTCGCATCCACGACCTCAGCATGGGCCAACCAGCCTCACCCCAGTCATATTCACTGCACTCCAAAAGGGCCATCCGGACTTCTTAGGTCATCTCTTTGTCCCCGTAACGTGGGCCATCCCACCTCACTTCGGTTGTCTTCACGAACCCCCGCACAGGCCACCAGGCTTCATTTAGGTCGCATTCACAACATGGGCCATCCAGCACGGGCCATCATGCTCTCCTTTCATTCCCCTCCGCAACAGCCCAGCACGGGCCACCAGGCCTCTCACTTCAGTCGCATCCGCGTCACCCCCACATGGGCCATCAGATAGAAATAGAACCGTTCCCGAAACCAGAAATCTGTCGTTTTCTTGGGTGGTTGGTTGGTGTTGCGAGGCAACCACAAAATGGTGGTATCGAAAGACACCGATTGTGTCAAGTGGTTTGAATGAATTTAGCCGTTGTAGAATCCACTTGGGCTTCGAGCCGATAAGCCCCCCCGTACAGCTGGGCGGCGGTGCGACCCCCAGATGACCACCGTACCTCAGCAGGAACTACTTTCGCACGGTGGAACAGACGAACCAGGGCCGCAGGTCCCAGCTTTATGCAGTTAAAGCTCCAGGCCATATGTGGAGGTATGGACTTCCCCCCAGCAGTGCGGTGTGTTTGGACGATAGGACGACAGTCAGTGACTATCAAGGTGTCGGTTGAGATATTAAATGTTTTTTTTTAGTTGGGTTTAAAGGATTCGGCCATCGACGCAGCTGAATACATTACACGTAATTGCCACCCTCCCAAATTCAATGACACGGGGACTCCGGTGCGCTGGGAATAGGAGTGGGACTGGGACTCGCCGTCGACGGAGGAGCGGACGCTGGCGCCGCCAGGTATCGGGAGAGGGGCGCCGTGTACGGAAGCGCCGCGATGCGAGAGGGCCCCCGAGTTGGAAAGCGGCGGCGGTCGGGACACGCTGCTCCTGAGGACATACATACATAGATACATACATACGACATCGGGACAGCGCGACATAGAAGAAACCAAAGAGTGAATAACGAATCGGTACATACTGGGGCTGAGGGGGGTTAGCGGGTTAAGAGGACCTGCGTGGTGGTGGCCAAAGTCCGGGGACGAGGATTCCCAAACCCCATCCACTCAATCGATCTCCACCCTCCGGGGAGCTCCCCCTGCCTCCTCCCCGCCGAACTTGAATAACGCAACCCCCATCACCCACCCACCCACCTCACCCATACTCAACGCAAACACTCACCCAAATAGACATACATACACATACAGACATACAGACACACAGACATGCACGCAAAACGCGCCGGGATGCTCACCTGGACGGCCAGCCAGCGGCCTCCTTCTGCTCTCGGTCCTCCTTTATCGGCACGCTCCGCCGCCACCAGCAGCGTCCGGGGTTCAGTGGAGGGTCAGGGCGGCGGCGGCGATGCTGGCGGCGGCGGCAGCGGCGGCTGGGCGATGCTCAGCCCGGCAGCGGCCTCCGCCGCAGGCGCTCAGCGTCGCAGCGGTAGCGATCTGACCGGTCACAACTGGGCAGCGGCGGCGGTGGCGGCGACGCCGGCGGCGGTAGCCTCGCCGGCACCTTCGAGTCGGTCGTACCGCAGCGGCGGCGACGTGGGGCCCGGTGGCGGTGTGACGGGCGGTTTCTTTGCACCGGTGTCGGGAGGACCACCGTCAGTGTCTGGTGCGTCGCAGCGCAGCGGTGCGGCCGCTAGCGGCGGACTGGAAGACCGCATGTACGGCAGTGTAGCATCGCCGGCGGCTCAGTCGCACCGTAGTGCTTTTAGCAACGGAGCAGCTTCGCCGGCGGCTCAGTCGCAGCGCAGCGGCGTAGGTGGCGGTGGTGGGTATGGCGGCATGGCTGCGTCAACATCACAGTCCCTGCATAGCGCCGACTTTGCCAACCTGCGTGGGT